CCCTGCGTCAAGAACGCCCAGCGTGGCAGAAATGCAACGCCAGGCTCTCAGGGAGGGCTGCCCCCACGTCCCCAAAATGAGTGTTTCCCGAAACCCTGAACCAAAAAACATGTTGCGGGGTGCATTTTCTTCTTGCGCAGGCTTCCGCCCGCCTTCCGCCTCCTCCTCCTTTTCCTCCTCCTCCTCCTCCTCCTCCTCCTCCTACTCCTCCGCCTCCTCCTCCTTTTCCTCCTCCTCCTCCTCCTTCTCCTTCTCGTCCTCCTCCAGCTCTCCTCTTCGTCCTCCTGTGAAGGAAACATCTTCGAGGCTTGAAGGCGAGGCCCTCTCTGGAAGGCTCACGTGCCCACGGGAAGCGCCAACGCCGCCACCGCTGCGCAGCTCGGCCGCGTTCCCCCCTCCTGGGAGGCTGGTCCCCCTTCCGTGGGGGCCGTGCAGGACCGGGCGGGCGATGCGCAAACCGTGCTATCTATGGGGGATTGTGCCGTCCTCACCGAGGAGGAGGAGGAGGAGGAGGAGGAGGAGGAGGAGGAGGAGGATCGGGGATTCTGCCTTCCTCACCCTCGGCCGCCCCGTTGCCCGCCGCAGCCCCTGCGAGAGCAGGGGGAACCGAGACGCCGCTCTGCAGGGCTAGCGCCGGCCGGCGCCGGCTGCGGCGGTGCGCAGGCCGCACCGGCCCCGCGCCGACGGGGCGCGCGCCGCCGCCGCACTCTCCCCTGAGATCCTGGCGTTTCATTGTTTTCGAGCTGGGCGTTTTCGTCCGGCTTCGGGCCCCGGGACCCTGACAGATCGATCGGGCTCGAAGAACACAGCAGAAAAACAAGGTCTAGGGCTCCTGTCGTAATTCTTTACGGCGCTGCGTTTTTGTTCGCGCCGTCGGATCTCAGGGCCTCTCGGGGCATGCAGGGCGGTGGCGCAGAAAACCTAGATTACGCAGATCTCCGACGAGATGTTCTCTGCAGTCCGCCTACGCTCCGCATTTTCTGCCCGTGGAACGCTAGTTTCCCCGAGGATTCCTCGGACACGGCCCACCTGCTCGCTGGCAGGTACCTGCACCCTTGCAGGTCTGTGCGACTGTGCGGTTCTGGCTGCCCCTCCTTCGCAAGACTCGACTCCCAGACATGCGACGTCTTGATTTTTCCATGCGCGGTCCCCGAAGTCCCGATCCCTTTCCCAGGGCCAGTTTTTCATCCCGAATCGCTTTTTGACGGTCCCAGGGCCCCGCGAGGCTCCCCGAGGCAGAAAACGGCCAAACATATCCCGTCGTGTTTTTTTCACGATCGAGCCTGTCTGGGCTCAGAGCCTGGGCCACTGTACGAGTAGACTCGACTACATAATTGATTTACTCCAAAATTGATTTGCCGAAGCCATCGCCCCCCGCACACGTCCTGCCGAAGCCATCGCCCCCCGCACTCGTCCTGCCGAAGCCATCGGTCGAATCTACCCAAAGTAAAAAGAATTTTCAGTATATCTACAGAGAGTTCTACGCAGTTGTCGTAGATAGGGCGGAACAAAAACCAAACTCGGGGTAAATCAATTCTGTAATCGATCCCCGACTCAAACTGCTCCAGCATCCGGACAAATTCATCCTGTCCTGCGCACCGCCCTCGCAAATCCCTCGCTTATGCGCCCGCCCTTCTTCTTTCGCCCCTCTCCTTCGAGTGGGGGATCGACTACAGAATTGACTTGCCTCAGAATTGATATTCTCGTCCGGTCATGCGTAACATGTTCGTAGGCCTACGAGTATTCTACAAATGTCGCATGGGTTCGACGAAAAGAATAATTCTTGGGAAAATCAATTATGTAGTCGATCCCCTACTCGATTCCTGTTGCAGACTGGCGTTCTCGCATACCCATTTGGCTCTTCCGACTCGTGCGAGCGCCGAGCCCACGACCAACACGTGTTGTTTGTCCACCTGGGCGCTTCTCCGCGACGACGGCCCATGGGGCCCATCCCCAGGCCCCTCCACTATAGCAATGGGTCCAGGACGCGCAAGCTTCGGCGGCGCGCCGGGGGGAAGAATTGAGACGGGGTAGGCCTTCTCAGAAGGCGGCGAGAGACTTCTCAGAAGCCCTCCGGCCTTCTGAGAGAAAAGTCTTGTGCGCAGGAGAACACCTCAGACGGCCCGAAGCCTTCCAGGCCTCCTGAGAAGGCTCGCCCCTTCTCACTTCGCCCCGCTCGCCGCCGAAGATAGGGAGGATCAAACGCCAGGGAGGGCCGCCGTGCCTCGACTGGCCTCTCTCCCCCGCCTCCGACGATGATCTTGGTGCCCTCCAGAGAGAGGGGGGGGGGGCCTGGCTCAGGGGGGGCTGACTTCCCCCCGGGGCCCGCCGCCGAAAGCCCACCACTCGTGGAGGGGAGCGGCGGCCCTGAGGCCACGGCCTGGAACATTGCATGGGAGGGTGTCTGGGTCGCGGGGCCTGCACGGGCGGGCGGCGGAGAGGGGTGGTGCCCGGTGCCCCCTCGGTGGGGCGCGCCGGAGCAGACCCAGACGGGCGACATCCGGAAATCCCGACCCTATCCCCAGGATGAGTCGCGTTTCATCCCGGGCCGCTGTTGGACATCATCATCATCATCATCATCATCAGCATCATCATCATCATCATCATCATCATCATCATCATCATCATCATCATCATCATCATCATCGTCATCATCATCATCATCATCATCATTATCATCATCATCCTCATCCTCATCCTCATCCTCATCCTCATCCTCATCCTGACCATCATCATCATCATCATCATCATCATCATCGTCATCCTCATCATCATCAGCAAAATCATCAGCATCATCATCATCATCCTCATCATCATCCTCATCATCATCCTCATCATCATCCTCATCATCATCCTCATCATCATCCCCATCATCCCCATCATCCCCATCATCCCCATCACCCCCATCATCACCATCACCACCACCACCACCACCACAACCGTCACCACTCCCAACGTCATCATCATCAGCATCATCATCATACTCATCATTATCATCATCACCAACACCATCACCATCACCATCACGTCATCAGCATCGTTACCACCACCACAACCATCACCACTCCCAACATCATCATCAGCATCATCATCATCACCATCAAAATCACCACCACCATCACATCATCAGCATCATTATCGTCATCATCAACACCATCATCAACACCATCATCACCATCAACAGCATTGCCGTCGTCATCATCATCACCATCACCATCACCGTCACCGTCACCGTCACCGTCACCAGCATCATCATCATCATCATCATCATCATCATCATCATCATCAGTACCATCAACATCACCAAGAATCAGCAACATCACCGTCATCAGCATCATCACTTGCATCATCATCATCATCATCATCATCATCATCAGCAACATCATCAACATCATCGACATCGCCATCGTCGTTACCTGCCCGCAATCATCATCATCATCATCATCATCATCATCATCATCATCATCATCATCATCATCATCATCATCATCATCATCATCCTTATCCAGCAGCATCATGATCATCAGCTCTGCGGCGCGCCTGGGGGGGAAGTGAGAAGGGGCGGGCCTTCTCAGAGGGCTCGGAAGTCCTCCTTCTGAGAAGTTTTGTAAGCCTTCCCCGAAGGCACAGGAAGCCTCTCAGAAGGCGCGAGGGCTTCTGAGAAGTCCCGCCGCCTTCTGAGAGGACCTTCTCCTTTTCACTTCCCCCCCTCGCTCGCCGCCGATCAGCATCACCGGCATCCCTATCATCATGCCCGCCATCATCATCACCATCATCGCCAACATCATCACCACCCTTCCCCAAGACGGCTGGAGTCTCATCCTTTTCACGGTCCCGGGGGCCAGCCCCCATGCAGGGGCCCCATACGGCCGGAAACCTCTCGCCGCCATCTTTCTGCGACGCGAACATGGCCGAAGTGTGAGAAACACCTCCGTCTGAAATTCTCCGAAGTAGCTGCACGTTTGGGGCGGTGCCCGGTGAGCTCCGCGAGTGCCGGCTCCGCGCAGCGCAGAGCGGTGGCCACCCTTCGGAAGGCAGTCACTTGAGCCACACCTTACGCGTCGGCTTACGCGGCCGCCAGCCTGGCGCGCTACAGTGGAAACGAGGGCGCTTGCGCGCGCGCGACCTCACGCGGGCAGCTTGCGTGCGAACGTCCGCGCAGTCGATCCCGTCAAGCATCTTCTGTTGGTCGGCTGAGGCCACGGCAGCTCTCCCGCCCGGCGCCGCAGATCGGTCCCCAGGCGCCTCCTCGGGTCCGTCCTGCCCCGTGCTCCGACGCGGACCCAGCCGTGGCGACGAGGAGCCTCCAGGAGGCCCCGCGACATCACGAAACGCGGCAGGGGCCGGGCGGCCTTCGTCTGGACTGGCCCGCCTCCGAGACGTGCAGCCTCACCCGTCCTCCCTCCCCCCCTAACCAGGGGGGAGCGCTCAAGGGGGTACTGGCTCAGGCGGGAACGTCGACCTGGAATCGGCGATACATCGCCGATGGATCGGGAACATGCCCTCGATGATCCCGAAACCCAGCGCTCCTGCGCGGCATGGGCTGCTGTATCGGGCCCCTATCGGCGATGAATGGGCGACTGGGGGTCGAGGCGTCCCCCGCTGAGCCGACCCCCACTTCCAACGCTCCCCGTCGCTTTCGGACCATAACTCGGCTCTCCGTCGGCCGTTCGGGACGATTTGGTCACTCCCAGACAGCCCTCGGCGAGGCGCAGCCGCTGGAAGACATCCCGAGGCTGGAACGCCGCCGAGAATCGACGAAGACGCCCGGAAACTTCGAACCTCGAACCTGACCACCCCCACCCTAACGTGGGGGGCAACGATAAGGAGGACTGGCATAAGGGGGATCATCGACCTGGAATGGACGATTGGAGGTCGCTGCGTCCAACCCGTGCCTATCATCCTCCAATCGTTGTCCCTGATGGCGTTGCCCCTGGCCCACCCCTGATGTTGCCCCTCGCCCCCGCCCCTAACGTTGCCCCTGGCCCACCCGAGCCCGCCTCGCCGCCGCCCGCCCGCGGAGTGGGACCGCGTCTTGCTGTCAGCCCTCGGCTCGCCGCCGCCACCAACTTGCCGCGGGGGGGGGGGGGGCGTGGGCGGCGCGCGGCTTTTGGGGGGGAAGGGCGCGGGGGCCGATCGGGGCGAGGGGGGGGGGCTCCCGGGGTCAATCCTGGCAAGCCTCTCTCGAGGCGCGCCCAGCTGTGGCGCCGAGACTAGGACGTCGATGCCGCCTTCGTCCTCTTCGCCCTCGTCGCTCTCCTCGTCGTCCTCGTGGTCCTCGTGGTCCTCGATGTCGCAGTCGTCCTCGTCGTTCTCGTCGCCCTCGTTGCCCGCGTCTTCGAAAGAAGGAAGCCTCCGAGGCAGGACAGGGACGTTCCAGGGACGAGGGGCACGACTCTATCGAGGGGAAAGGGGGGCAACGAGGAGAGGTTAGGAGAGCAGGACGGTGGAAACCCACACATGCGATGTCCTGATTGTTTCAGCGCGCGCGGTCCCCGGAAATCCCAACCCCTTCCCCAGAGCCAGTTGTTCATCCCGAGCCGTTGTCTGACTGTCCCGAGGGCGGTTAAGGGCCCTCAGAGACCGAACGTAGCGAAGAACCTCCCGTCACGCTTGCTTCATGAACCAAGGCTGTCTGGGCGAGACGCCCGACATCAAACATCTCGCGGCGGGAGCCTCCTATCCCTTTCGGATTTGCGAGCCTTCGCGGGGAAGCCCGTCCATGTCTCGGGCCCATTGGGCGGGTCGGCGGGGGCAGGCCAGGGGCTGACGGCGCGTGGACGAAGAAGGAGGAGGAGGAAGAAGATGAGAGAGGAGGAGGAGGATGTGGAGGAGGAGGAGGACGAGGATGATGTATGAAGAAGAAGAAGACGAAGAAGAAGAATAATAATATGAAGAAGAAGAAGAAGAAGAGGAGAGGGCTGACGGGGCAGGACACAGGGAGCGGAGAGGGGTTGCAAGCGATTTCTCGCGCCCAGGTCCCCGCGCCGCCGACATCATAAACCCTCGAAACGTACGCTGCATTGGCGCTTTCGAAGGTACAGTCCTTCATAAAAAAAACGACGGTATAAGAGGCCTCCGAGACTGCCCGAAAATGCTCCAAGGCGCCCAAGATGGCCCCAAAACGGCCCAAGGAGGCTCACAAAAGGCCCCCGAGAGCGCTCCAAGAAGCCGACGTTTGAGATGGACCTAAGGTTCCTGATGGATTCTGGTACGCCCATATCTCCGGTGGCCCCCGTTCGGGTTTCCGAAGCTGCTTCGCGACGGCGCCAAGGCCTCACAACATAGCTCTTGCATGTCCCATTCTTCGAGAGAGGGAGGCCGACGGAAGGGGGCGAAGCCCTTACGGATATCAATATAGGTCGGGTCGGATCGGACCCCTCGGAAGCAGCAGTTCGCGAAGTCATCAGCCACGGAATGCCGCTAGGATCAGGCTACACCCGAACATGAACCATGCTGTCACACACTGGCAAAACATCCGAAACCGCAGGTCATAGCGCCTGCCGGAGCCCACAAGTCTCAAAGTGGCATCCATTGTTCGAGCATCCGTTCCCAATCGGCGCCGCGAGAGACTGGTTGGAGCGGAGGCACTGCGCGCCGTCGAAGACGGCAAGGGGAAACGGATTCTCTGCGCGACCGCTTCGGAGCGTTTGCGCTCGCATGGTTGGCGCGGTCGGCTCGGGAGGAGGAGCGAAGCCGAATCAGGGGAGGCTCAGAAGGACGAGGAGGACAAGGGGGGTCACTCTGGCGGCTCGGCTCAGGGGGGGCGCTTTCGGGACGTCTATTTGCAATAGAACGGGCATGGGCGATCAACGTTGCTGTCTTCATAGCAGCGAAGTGGCTCCAGTCGGAGAAGGCGAACTTAGAATCTGTGGGCTTCCCAAGCCCTTGGAATCTGTGGATGCTCTCTGAGATTTCGGCGAAATCAAAAAGGGGCCTCCCATGGCCAGGGAATCTGTTGTGGCCATCTGCGATGAAGGCGAACGTAAAGTGGGGCGTCCCATACCCTGAGAGTCCGCACATGCCATCTGCGATGTAGGCGAGCTTCCTTTGGGGCGTCCCATGCCCCCAGACTCTGCGCAAACGTTGGGGTCGACCCCCAAAACCGGAAGCGGGCAGGGCTGTTCACACAATGTTTGTCCCGAGTTCTGGATGCGATCTGTGATGACAACGATCGTAGAGTAGGACCTCTCATGCCCTGAGATGGTGTAGTGCTCTCTGCGATGACACGAAAGCAAAGCATGAGGGCACCCCATGCCCAGAGAATTGGTTGGTGGAGGAGTCTTACACAGTTGAGGAGCTCCCATGCCCTCGTTCGCATTCGGCAGAAATGGGTAGCGCCCCATTGCGCGCAGCTGTGGCGCGTCCAGCATATTCAAAAAATTGCGTCACCTAGCCCATCATCATGTCGTCTATCTTCACCACCTGCATGTGGAGGATGCGTTCCATCCCTGGCGCCGAAATTGAGGAACAACTTTCGAACTGAAGCAAACCATACTTCGCCAGATATCTGGGTATCCGACGTTAAGCGAGCGAGCGATTGGGGCGCCCAGAAGAAGGTAGCGCGAGTGGGCTTCTGTCTAAGGAGGCGACGGAGCTTCTGTGAAGGCAGGGGAGCTTCTTAGAAGTACACCCAGATTCTACCCAGCCCAGGCCTTCTTAGAATTCTGCGCGACCTTGTAAGAACCCGCTCTGTCATCCTAGTAAGCCACCCCCCTCGCGCCACTCGACTATGGACGCCGCCAAAGCGAGCGCCTCTCCCCCAAAGTGAGTGGACGCGGCGCTCGCCAGGGATTGCCCACCAGGTGTGGTGGTGGTGGGGGGGAGTGCGTGACACCGCCTGCGTCGCTGCCGCCCTGCAGCACGACGACGCTGAAGTTGCGCTTCAGGTGCCTCATCGCTCCTCAGGAGGAACGCTCTCCCCCACAGAGTTGTCATCCTGCTCCTCCTACCTCTCTTCCTCCTCCTCCTCCTCCTCATCCTCATCATCATCCTCGGCATCACCATCACCATCATCATCATCATCATCATCATCATCATCATCATCATCATCATCATCATCATCATCATCATCATCATCATCATCATCATCATCATCATCATCCTCATCCTCATCCTTCCCCTGCTCCTCCTGCATCTCCTGCTCCTCCTGCTCCAGCTCTCCTCTTCCTCCTGCTTCTCCTCCGTCTCCTGCTCCTCCTCCTGTCCCCCTCCTGCTTCTGCTTCTCCTGCTCCAAGTCGCCCGTCTGCTCCTCTCCTCGAACTCGTGCTCATCGTGCTGCTCCCCTCCTGCTCCTAACCTACTGCAAATCCTCCTCCTCCTCCTCTTCCTCCTCCTCCCCCTCCTCCTCCTCCTCCTCCTCCTCCTCATGCTCCTCCGCATCTCCTCCTCCTCCTCCTGCTTATGCTCCTCCCCATGCTTCCCATTATTATCCCGCTCTGTCTCCTCCTCCTCCTCCTCCTCCTCCTCCTCCTCCTCCTCCTCCTCCTCCTCCTCCTCCTCCTCCTCCTCCTCCCCCTTGGGATCTGGGCGTCGCAGCTACAGACGACGGCACGCTGTTCGCCGTGGCCGGCCGCCGAACGCCCTGGCCACTGCCGAGACCTCCCCGCTGCCCGCGCCGTGGCAGAAGCACGGGGCAGCTCGCCCCGCTCGGACCCCGCCGACAGCCCCAACGGGGAGGCAGGTGCAGCAGGCACAGTCAGCCCACACAGTAAGGATGTTCGAGGCGGGGATTTACACATAACCACCGCGTGGAGGATCGATTTTGGCATCTGGGGGGCCAGAATATATCCATGAGGAGCTGTCCAAGGCTACCCTTGCGTCCTTCCCCCTCGGCCAAGCCTGGACCGCTTTCGCTGGCTGCGTCCCGCTCGAAAAGTGTCGACATGGCCTTCCAAGGGGGGAGGGCGTCACCCACGGGTTGTGCGGTGGGCTGTGCCATCCGCGGGATGCGCCATGGGCTGCGCCATCCGTGGGCTGTGCCGCTGGTTGCGCCATGCATGGGTGGCGCCGCAGGTTCCGTCATGGGCTGACAGTTCGTTGGATGCGCCACAGGCTTTGCCACTGGTTGCGTGCTCGGAGGTCGAACATGAGACGGCCTGCTACTGGCCAGGCCATAGTTTTGGGCCACAGCTAACGAACATCAAATGGCCTTCTATTGGTTGCGCCCTAGGTTATACACTCGGCGGCTGGACATACAACAGCCTGGTATTGGTTGCGCCATCGGCTCCGCTCCTGATGGCCGAACATAAAACGCCCAACTAGTGGTTACGGAATGGGTTGCGCCCACGGCTGTCCAAATGAAGCCGCACGGTATTAACAACGGCCTCTGTGATTGGTGGCATGATGATTTGCGCACTCGGTGGCCGAACATAAACTGGTCTGCAATGTGGTGCGCCATGGGCTGCGCACTCTGCGACCCCAAACAAAACACCCTTCTGTTTGTTGTGCCATGACTGCGCGTCCGGCGGCCGAACATAAAACGGCCTGCACATCGTTGCCCCATGCACAGTATGCGCCCTCGCCGATCCAACGCAACGGCCAGCTGACGGGCGCGACCAGTCCAGTTATTGTAGCCAGTTTGGCAATTAGTCAATCGCAGTGCGCCTAGCGAACAACAAATGCGGGCATCGCCTCAACATCACGACGTTGGGGACATGATGCTTCTTCAGCCACGCGTGGCACTCTATAATCGAACACCAAAGAGTGGGTTTTTGTTGCGGGGTTGTTCCTCAGGTGCCTCTTCCTTCTCCATATCCTACGCACCAAACTATGACTGGTGCCGTCTGGAACACCGGGGAATATCGCCTGCAACAATTCTCCGCTTCCCCTCATCCCCTCCCGCCTGGAACCTCTGACAACAGCCCGTTCCACCCGCCAGAGAAGCACCCAAAGCCTTTGACAACCTCCTTTGCCTCCCATGTTGTAGGTCTCCTCCTCCACTTTCTCCTCGCTGTGCCCTCCTTCTCCTCCTCCTCCTCCTCCTCCTTCTCCCTCTCCCCTACCTCCTTCTCCCACTCCTCTTCGTCCTCTCGTCATGCTCCCCCTCCCCCTCCCCCTCCTCCTCCTACTCCTCCCCCCTCTGGGGAAACCTAGATACCGAGACCGCCACTCCACAGAACTCTCCCGGGGTGTGTTCTGATTAAAACGTCGACCCGAATCCAGCAGTAGCGACGACGGCATCCCAGGAGACTTACAAAGACGGAAACGAGGCCCGCGGGTCAGCGGTAAGTCAAGTCAAGTCACGTGCCCGCACGAAGGCGGGCCCAGGTAGGTCGCTAAAGGAAAAACAAATACCATTGTTATCCTGCGCGGCACTTGCCACGGTCCGACGTGACTCGCCGGGAAAGACGAGAGTATCCAGGGTATAAACGGTTTCGCGATGTTGTTCCTCCTCTGACCCCACATCGTCCTCCTCCTCCTCCGCCTCCCGCCCCTCCCCCTTCTGCGACACCTTCTGCGATCTGGAGCAAGTCCCGCTTGCCCGAACAAGCAACACCTGGCCTGCAAAAACAGATCAGAGAGAGTCCACCCTCCTCCTCCTCCTCCTCCTCCTCCTCCTCCTCATCCTCCTCCTCCTCCTCCTCCTCCTCCTCTCTCTCCTCCCTCTCCTCCCCCTCCTCCCCCTCCTCACCCTCCTCCTCCCATTCCTCCCCCCCTCCTGCTCCTCTTCCTCCTCCTTTGTTGGGCGGGAGCCGGGAGCCCGCGCGAGAGGGAGAGGGAACCCCCGCGCACGGCCGCCGGAGCCAACCTGGACAGAAGCCTCGTCGGCAGCCGCTTTCAGGCTGCGTGCTGGTCTTCTTCCTCCTCCTCCTCCTCCTTCTCTAACTCCTCCTCCTCCTCATCATCATTATTCTTCCTTCCTTTCTCCTCCACCTCCTCGACCTCCTCCCTCTATGCCTCCACTTCCTTCTCCTCCTCCTCCTCCTCATCCTTCTCCGCCTCCACTCCCTCCTCCTCCTCCTCCTCCTCCTCCTCCTCCTCCTCCTCCTCATCATCATCATCATCATCACTATCACTATCATCATCATCATCATCATCATCATCATCATCATCATCATCATCATCACCACCATCCTACCCCCTGGCCATTTTGAGTTCGAAATGATCGCCCTGGCGTTTCGAGCTAGTCCAGAGCCAAGGGGAGGCCGCGCGCGGACGACGTTCACATCTTCCTGCCCACGAGGCCGCATCACTCGGCCACCCGCAAGGCTCTCGCCATCCAATCTTTCCCTGGACCGCTCTGGTCCTACGATGTCTCGCTACGTGTGCTGCGGCAGGCGGGGATGCACGGCTTAGGCGTGGGCCAACCGAGCAGAGCAGGTTGATGCAGTCAGTGCGACACGGAGTTCCAGAAGCAGTCCGACCAGAGAGGCAGGTCCTACGAGGAGAGAGGGCGTGGCAACCCCGACAGTTTCAAGCCTGGCAGCTGGAGGCGCACTCGTCCCCGTCAGCCCTCCAGTCGTAAGATAGATGACAACAAAAAACAGCGTCAGCCCCCCCCCAGCCGAAGACGGACCTCCTGATTCAGTATGCCTGGCCCAAGCCCAAATCTCCTGGAAGAAATGGGTGGGCGGCGGGCGGAGTAGATCGACGCAGTAAAATATCTCAAGCAAACCAAGATCGCTGCCATGCGGGGCAACAACTTGGACCAACAAACCCGGTCTCTCAACGGCCAGGTGCAGTCCGTCAAAACCAAGATCGCCCTCAACGAGGCCGACATCCAGGCCATCGCGGACCAGGTCGCCAACATGGCCGACCAGTGCAAGGAGAAGCTCCGTGGATTGCAAGAAAATCGTGTGGAACAACAACAGCTCGAAGCTCAGTTGGCCATGGCAGCTACAGCGGCAGCCCAAGAAGAAAGCGGAGTCCGCAGACGTCACCCAGATGCTCTACGCGGCCCTCCAATTGAAAGTGCCACAAGGTGGAGCCATCCCAGAAATTCTACCCAACAAGGTGCCAGAGATGGGCCAGCTGTTCCACCAGTTGCAGGAGCAGCACGGGCGCGCCCTCGCCACCGATCAATCAGTCCATGCCGCACCAGCCCCGACGCCTGGAGTTCCAGGACCTCAGGCAGCAGCTGCGGCGGCCGCTGCAAAAGGGCCAGGAGCCGAAGGCAAGGCAGCGCCAGCAAAGGACGAGGACGCGGACGTGCCCCACACCTTCAGCGGGTTCGGGCGCGAGGCGGAGGAGCTCGACGAGGTGTCCAACCCAATGGAAAACAGGAGCGCCGGCAACGCCAAGAAGCTCAAGAACGCGTCGGCGGCAGCGGCCTAAGCAGCAGAGGCCAAGAGGTCGCCGTCGAGTCTTTAGCCAGCAGGTAGCTGTGATGACGTTCAACGGCAGCTGTTGGAGCACCTTCAAGAGTTACATTATCTCCAAAAGCGCGCTCAAAGTAAATCTCATCTTTATCCAGGAGGACAGGCTACGAGATGAGGACGTGATTGCGCAGCAGGTGCAATGTTGGCAACGTGCGGGATGGCTGGCGCACATCGCTCCGGCAGATATCAATGCCATCCGCGAGCTGATCAACGGGGTAGCCATCCTTGTCAGGAACAACCTTGAAATCGGCAAGTCTAACATGACCATCCCTCAGGAGGTCAACAGCAGGCTCACAGGCGTCTTGCTCGACCTATCCAGCTTGCCCAAACTATGACTCCTCTTTGCGCATTTCAAGGCCTCAGTTGGACTGGGAGGATTCAACCTAAACCTGTTAGCAGACATCGCAGTCCAATAAGATGCTGAACAAGATCTGACTATTGTGGCTGGAGGCTTCAACTTGGCCCCGTCGAGGGTAGAAAGTTTGGAATTCCTTCGCAAGGCCTCTATGACGCTGGTAGCCCCGCAACTCCCGACCAATCGAACCAAGAGAATCCAATCCCTTTTGGACTGTTTCCGGTGCTGTAAGTCCCTTGGGGAACGCATCCTGGATGCCAGAACCTGGGACCACTACCCGCTGTCTCCTCACAGGCCCGCGTGCTTACGTAAATCAGAAATGAAATATATGTTGGTGCCAAGACTTCTGAAGCCACAGAGGCTACCCGTACAGGAACCGATCGGACCCCAGCTCGAGCACGGTCCTCGAGCTCAGAGTGAACAAGCAGCTTGCTACGCCGAACACCTGCTCGCCGATGCCACCCAGCCTCTCAGCAAGCAGCAAACGCAGAACATCCAAGATCCCACCTACTTCTTCATTTTCGAAGATCTCGAAAAGAGCCTCAACCTTATCACGGACACCCCTCTCCGTCACATTCGCGCCCCAAGGGCTTGTTCTCCCATCGTCAAGTGAGTGGAAGCCAAAAGCAGAAATCAAAAGCTCAGCAGAATAGGGTTCAAGCTGGAGCATGACCAGCCAGTCTGCATCGTGGTCAGCCCGCAGGACCACCCAGGCATAGTTAACGGCACATCTTCACTGCAGGACGCCCTGCAGGCGACGCAGCAGCTCGGAGAGTTGCTGATTGCCAGCAGCGCAGCAACAGTATCGTCAGAAGTCACAGCCCACGATGCCATCGATCGAATCCTTATCGACGTCGAAAAAAGATCGAACCTGAGCAGGGGAAAAAGCAAACTCGAAACTGCTAATGCGTGGTCCTCGTGGGTCTGGCCGAGGGCCACTTCGAGGCGGAGCCGGTCGGGCCCACAAGTGGACTAGAAGTTTGGAAGATTGGAAGCCAGCCTCCACCTACCTCGAAGGTAAATGGTCTGGGCGCCCTTGAAAACTGCTTGAAGCCGAAGCCGAAAGACTCGCTGGGATCTGGTAGGTTGCCGAAGAGCCCATGGAGAACCCCGTACCCCAGGACATCGATGTCAGGATCGCCTTGGGCCCCCTCAACGGCAAGACCCTCCAGGAGGCCTCCAAAAGTTACCCTCCTAGTACAGCGTCTACGTGGGACGGAGTGCACCCGATACACGTCGCGCCGATCACCGAAGGCCACGCTAATTTGATCGCACGGCTGCTTCTCATAATCGAGGCTCTGAACACCATGCCATCTCAGATCCAGAGCATCTTATCCGTCCTCCTCTTGAAACGCAAGCAGCAAGATAAAGCAGCAACGAAACGAACCATAATATCAATATGAATGATGCCAAGACGCCGAGCGCAGGCTCGAATACGTCAGACTGCCGCTCGAGAATGGGAGCGCCATCATCGCCGACCCTTCCTTGCTCACCAGGCAGGACACTCCATCGTGGAGATAGTTTTCAACCAGAGCCTACATGGCAAAAACTAGACAAGCAATAGCCCACACCATGTAGGAATACCTATACGACGACCCTTCGGGTGATAAGGAGGTTCGGGGGGGGGAAGAACCAACGTCTCGCTCGATCGGTCTCACGATCGATCTCACGATCGATCTCACTATCGGTCTCGCTCGATCGATCTCACTCGATCGATCTCACCCGATCTATTTCATTCGATCGATCTCCCATTCGATCTCACAATCGATCTCACAATCGATCTCACTATCGATCTCACTATCGATCTCACAATCGACCTCACTTTCGGTCTCACTATCGATCTCACGATCGATATCACAATCGATCTCACAATCAACATCACCATCATCATCAAGAGCATCATCGTCATCATTGTCATCAACATCATCATCATCATCATCGGGACACCATCATCATCACATCATTACCATCATCATCAATATCATCATTATCACCGTCATCATCGGGGCACCATCATCGTCACCATCATCATCATCACCAACATCATCATCGGGACACCATCATCATCATCGGAACAGCACCATCATCATCATCATCATCATCATCATGGACGACATCATCAACATCATCATCAACATCATCACCATCGGGAGACACCATCATCGTCACCATCAGCATCATCACCATCATCATCATCATCGGGACACCATCATCATCAACATCATCATCAGCATCATCACCCTCGTCGTGTCACCATCATCAGAATAATCATCACCCCATCATCATCACCCTCATCATCAACATCATCATCGGGACAATATCATCGTCGTCATCATCATCAACATCATCATCATCATCCTCATCGGGGCACCATCATCATCACCATCATCATCTTCATCATCAGCATCATCTCATCATCATCAACAACATCATCATGATCATCATCATCACCATCATCACCTTCATCGGGACACCATCATCATCAACAACATCATCATCATCATCAACACCATCATCATCATTATCGGGACACCATCATCATCACCACCATCACCATCATCATCAACATCGGGACACCGACGGGACACCGGCGGGACACAGGCGGGACACCGCGGGGCACCGGCCCCCGGAAAGGAATCATTTGGTCTGGCCGCGCCTCAGCCGGAGGAGACTTTCTTGTCGCCCGCCCACTCAGCTTCGCCTCGCCCGCACGCGCGGCACGCACGAACACGATACCGAAACCGATTTTCTGGTAGGGGGGCTCTCCGTTTCACTTCGATCTCACCCCCTCGCCTCCAAATACTACATGACCTCAACAACTACTACGAAGACATCAACATACGCAAGCTAGCTAGAAGGGTCCTCAGAAGTGGACTCCCTGTTACAATATTACGCATCATCCTCGGCATCTACGCCAGCCCTGAAAATGTAGCATTGCCGGACATGATTACATACATGGGAAACAAGTTTTCGGGATTGCGGCAGGTTGTGGTTGTGCTACGCACCTCATCCAAATGTACACCCTAGGATCGCTAGACATTTGGACACCGGCCAAGCCGAACCTAGACCTCTACATCTTCATAGATGACATCCTCATCAAGTCAATCAGCCCAAGTTTGAAGACAGTGGTCAGCCCATTCAACGAGAGCACCAGCAGCTTGCTCAAGTACAGCAAGATTAGGGCCAGCAGAGACCCATCTCCTGGCCTCCCCCATCGACTAGAGAAAGACAACCCAAGGCCAAACTCAGAGATCGTGCCGGCACCAATCTCCATCCCTCCGCCCCCAGACTTGGTTGCGAGATGGCTGCAGGCATGCCCCAGTGCAGGTGGAGGTGAGGAGGGCTCGCCATCGCCAGACTCGACACGGTCAAACAAAAAATCGCATACTGAGGAGCTTCGAGGAGAGATGGACGAGACACGAGGAACGTCGGAAGCAATTGGCGGAGCAACTGAAACCACCCCAGTTGCAACTGAGACCGCCCCCGGTGGCGCCTAGGGGGCCGGGGGGCGGGCGGAGCAACTGAGACGGGTGGGCGGAGCAACTGGGCCAGCAACTGACCCAACTGACCCAGACTGCCCCACACTGCCCCAGACCGCCCCAACTGCCCCACTGTCCCAGACTGCCCCAGACTGCCCCAGACTGGCCCAGACTGCCCCAGAGTGCCCCAGAGTGCCCCAGACTGCCCCAGACTGCCCCAGAGTGTCCCAGACTGCCCCAGACTGTCCCAGACTGCCCCAGACTGCCAGGCCGGGGGCGGGCGGAGCAACTGAGACAGGTGGGCGGAGCAACTGGGCCAGCAACTGACCCAACTGACCCAGACTGCCCCAGACTGCCCCAGACTGCCCCACACTGCCCCAGACTGCCCCAGGCTGCCCCAGAGGGCCCCAACTGGCCCAGACTGCCCCAGACTGCCCCAGACTGCCTCAGACTGCCCCAGACTGCCCCAGACTGGCCCCAGACAGGCCCAGACTGCCCCAGACTGCCCCAGACTGCCAAGGGGGCCGGGGGGCGGGCGGAGCAACTGAGACGGGTGGGCGGAGCAACTGGGCCAGCAACTGACCCACTGACCCAACTGACCCAACTGACCCAACTGACCCAATTGACCCAGACTGCCCCAGACTGCCCCACACTGCCCCAGACTGCCCCAGGCTGCCCCAGAGTGCCCCAACTGGCCCAGACTGCCCCAGACTGCCCCAGACTGCCTCAGACTGCCCCAGACTGCCCCAGACTGCCCCAGACAGGCCCCAGACTGCCCCAGACTGTTCCAGACTGCCCCAGACTGCCCCAGACTGCCAAGGGGGCCGGGGGGCGGGCGGAGCAACTGAAACGGGTGGGCGGAGCAACTGGGCCAGCAACTGACCCAACTGACCCAACTGACCCAACTGACCCAACTGACCCAGACTGACCCAGACTGCCCCAGGCTGCCCCATGCGCCAAGAGGGCTTCCGCGAAGGGCCCGAGAGAGGCCCTCCTGGACCCTTGCAGGGAGCAACGCTCCGGTCCCAGCTGCACCCGGGGCCGCGCGTGCCGCGAGGGGCCTCGACGGAGGGCGGGGGACTCCCAGAGCCTTCCAACGGGCCCAAAGGCGGCCCCAAGACAGGCCCAAGACGTTCGGAGCATGCCCAGGGCGTTCGGAGGGGCCCAAAGGCGCCCCAAGACAGGCCCAAGAGGGCACCAGGGCAGCTTATAAAAACATATTGTTTTATAACGTACTCCTGGGCCCTCTTGGGGGCCTCTCGGAGCCCCCGTGGGGGCCTCTGGGAGCCCTCTAGGGGCCCTCTTGGACCCTTTCCAGAAGGTTCGGGGGAGCTCAAAGGCGCCCCAAGACGGGCCCAACAGGGCACCAGGCCAGCTTATAAAAAAAAACATCTTGTTTTATAACGTACTGCTGGGCCCTCTTCGGGGCTTCTTGGAGCCCCCCTGGGGGCCTCTGGGAGCCCTCTAGGGGCCCTATTGGACCCTTCCCAGGGCCCTCGGAGGGGCCCACAGGCGCCCCAACACGGGCCCAAGTGAGCCCCAGGACAGCTTATAAAAAACAGTTTGTTTTATAACGTACTCCTGGGCCCTCTTCGGGTCCTCTTGGAGCCCCCTCTGGGGGCCTCTGGGAGCCCTCTAGGGGCCCTCTTGGGCTCTTCCCAGGGCCCTCGGAGGGGCTCCCCGCCCGACGAGACCCGACCCGCCCCCCAGGTGCCTCTGGCTCATGGGCTCATCTGTGCCATCTGTGCCCCCCGCCCGACCAGACCCGACCCGCCCGTTAGGGTACTCGCGTGCCATCTCGATGATGCATCATACTTTAATGTCCCGCCCGACCCGGCCCGACCCGCCCGTTAGGGTCCGCCCGCCCGACCCGACCCGACCCGCCCGTTAGGGTCTGCCCGCCCGACCCGATCCGTCCCGCCTGTTAGGGTACTCGCGTGCTAACTCGATGATGTACCATACTTTAATGTCCCGCCCGACCCGACCCGACGCGCCCGTTAGGGTCCGCCCGCCTGACCCGACCCGACCCGCCCGTTGGGGTCCGCCCGCCCCGACCCGACCCGACCCCGCCCGTTAGGGTACTCGCGTGCCAACTCGATGATGCATCATACTTTAATGTCCCGCCCGACCCGACCCGACCCGACCCGCCCGTTAGGGTCGGACCCGACCCGCCCGTTAGGGTCCGCCCGCCCGACCCGACCCGTCCCGCCCGTTAGGGTACTCGCGTGCCAACTCTCTGATGCAACATACTTTATGTCCCCCCGACCCGACCCCCCGTAGGGTCCGCCCGACCCGACCCGACCCGACCCGCCCGTTAGGTTACTCGCGTGCCACCTCGGCGATGCACCATACTTTAATGTCCCGCCCGGCCCGACCCGACCCGCCCGTTAGGGTCCGCCCGCCCGACCCGACCCGACCCGCCCGTTAGGGTCCGCCCGCCCGACCCGACCCGTCCCGCCCGCTAGGGTACTCGCGTGCCAACTCGATGTCGCATTATACTTTACTGTCCTGCCCGACCCGACCCGACCCGCCCGTTAGGGACCGCCCGCCCGACCCGATCCGCCCCGCCCGTTAGGGTCCGCCCGCCTGACCCGACCCGACCCGCCCGTTAGGGTCCGCCCGCCCGACCCGACCCGTCCCGCCTGTTAGGGTACTCGTGTGCCAACTCGATGATGCACCATACTTTAATGTCCCGCCCGACCCGGCCCGACCCGCCCGTTAGGGTCCGCCCGCCTGACCCCGACGACGCCGCCCGTGTAGGTCCGCCGACCCGACACCGACCCGCCCCCGCTTTTTAGGGCACTCGCGTGCCAACTCGATGAACGCACCATACTTTAAATTTCCCGCCCCCCCCCGACCGAACCCGACCCTCCCGTTAAGGTCGGACCCGGCCCGCCCGTTAGGGTCCGACCGCCCGACCCGACCCGCCCCGCCCGTTAGGGTACTCGCGTGCCAACTCGGCGATGCACCATACTTTAATGTCCCGCCCGACCCGACCCGACCCTCCCGTTAGGGTCCAATCCGCCCGACCCGAACCCGACCCCCCGTTAGGGTAA